TGCTGGCCGGGCGCGCTTCCTTTTTCCTGCGTGGGAGCAATTGTCTTGCAAGTGAGAAGAAAATCATTAGCTATTTTGGCTGATTTTTTTAAGGGTAGTGTGGTTTTCTGTAGGGTTTTTTTGCACTTTTTTTGCACTTTTTTTTGCACTTTTTTTGCACTTTTTTTTTTTTGCACTTTTTTTTTTTTGCGCTTTTTTTTCTGTCCCTCCCTTCCCCAAACCATGGGCAGCAGCGGTAGCCCAACAACCCCAGCCAGCCTTGAAAACATCCCAAGGGGCCAGGTCGCTCCTTGCCTGCCCTTTCCGAAGGGATGTTCCCATAGGAAGGTGATCCAATGGGAAGCAAAGCACGGACACGGGTTCATCGAGCGGGAAGATGCTGCTCCCAGTTGGCATCGCTTGGACCGTTCGTGTCGGCATCGCGCTCAGGCCGAAGCTTTCGGAGCTCAGCGGCACCATCCTGCTTCCCCTTTAGAAACTCCCCCCAGATGGGTTTTCCGGATGGTGCTGGTGAGCAAGGCCTGGCCACGGAATGGGAAATGCTCCCACTGCTGGGACCCTCAGCCTGAATGAGCCAGGAAATGGGAATGGGAATGGATGTGGGAATGGGAACCCTCCTTGCGGCCTTTACTGCGCTTCACCCCATGCACAAGGAAGGGGGGGGTTGGGGGCTCCTTCCTCATGCCGGAGGCACCCGCGGCCTCCGGAAAACGTCCTGGTCCCCGGGCCGGAGCGCAGGGTCCCCTCGTCCCAGGGCCAGGCCCCGAGCGGCGACGCGAGTGACCGCGCGGGGACGGCCAGCGGCCCCGTTCCGGGGCGTCACCCCGGCGCCCGGCCCCCGTCTGTCACCAAATCTTTGCAAGGGGCCTTTTCGCAAAGCAGAAATGGCAACGATTTGCAAATCGCCCTGCGGTTGGAAAGCAGATGTGGGGTCCCCTCGGTGCCAGCACCCCCGGAGCAGCGTCCCCAGCCCCCAGCAGCGCTGCCAGTACCTATTTTCGCCGCATCCATTTTCAGGTTGAAATCCCAGTTCCGGGGCAGCTTGAGCGACATGTCGGGCCGCCGGCGGGGCCTGTCTCGGTCGCCCTTTTCCCTCGCCGTCCTCCCGAGGGATCCACGCGGAGACGGGCCGCAGCGAAGGCGACTC